CCACTCCAATACAAGATTTTGAAACATATAAACCTGATCAACTTGGATGATCCAATACCAATGTCACAAATGGGCTGTAGTCAAGAAGGTGACAAAGAACGACACAGCAAAAGTTGAGCAAATCACAGCAAAAATGCTAAAAGCACCCACCAATATGATCACTCAAATGAAACTGGCATAGCTGTTCAATTAAATTTGGGGAAAAGAGACCCTTAGGATCAGTGGAAACACTGAATCATTGCCAGAATATAAAAAATGTGTGTCAACGAAGACCTCAAGAGGGAATTGAAACCAAGAATAGGAAAGGCATTCATCCAGAGCACTTACTAAACCCAGCATCATATGGAAATGAAAGATATACAGCACCAAAACAAAACTGAGAATTTTCAAATTCAGAAATAAACTCAGAGCTAACATGGCTGCGAGAGCTAGAGAGCTACTAAAACTAGAAAATTAGACAACTTCAAAAACAAGTGCCTAAATTGTTGTTAGCATGCCTTGACCCATATCAATTTCTACCAGATTTTCTTAATCTGTACCTCTTTTAAAGAGAGAAGGGTCAGGATATTTAAATTTAAAGAACAGGGATAGGAAAACAAGAAGGGATTATAGTGAACCCATATTAAATTTAAAATGTTCAATAATCAGATGTTCCTTTCTAGAAGCACAGTCATTTACACAGATAATTCTCAAAACACGAGAAGACTACAGTTCAAAAATGGCTTTCTGATTGCACTTTAGTGCTCACAATCTACTGGGACCAATGTGAAATTCAAGAAGCTCTGAAGACAGAATAGGGTAACACAAGCATTAGAAATATCCTTGAGAAATACTAACATGTAGGCAGACAGATGGTTTCACACATAATTAAGAGCTATTTTTACTTTGATAGGAAATATTATTATTGATTTACTGTATATTTAAATATAGATAGGATGATCTACACCATCCTTTGAAAGTAGCTAAATGAACAAACAAAATGATTTAAAACTAAAAATAAACCAGAAGGCTCAGAAGATCATTCTTTTATAGTAAATTTCTTGCAGACTTTTACTGATACATACCTATAATCTAAGTTTTTCCATCTACTTCAACAAGTCTTTTAAACTTTTCAAATATTTTTCATCTATCAACACGATTTTTTTACTCTTTGAGATTGAGATTTGTTGCTAAGCCACTTAACCCTTCAGCTATCCCGCTTTATGATTCTTTATTTAGACCTCTCAGAACTCTGTTGACCTGTTCTCAGATTACAACAAAGTCTTAAAGATAAATACTACAGACAACAGTTTTCTGGGATGACCACTTTCTAGCTTACCCAGCTGGTACCAACCGTTTAGAAGAAGCAACACAGATGAATAAGAGACTAATATACTGCATCTTGCACAACCCAAAAGCATAAAACTGCCTCTGTAGCAAGAGCTCCTGAAAACACCCATACTCACTATCTAGTGATTTCAAAGAACTGTGTCTATTGAATATCCAACAGAATAACATCAAAGAAATGCCAATTTTACATTAGAAACAACTACATTTGTTGTTTTTGAATATAAATATGCTTTTTATAATGTATGCTATTATTTTGCCTTGGATATCATGGCACTTTCCCTATGGGGGAAGGGATCTATGGCCAGTGAGGGATATATCTATGGGAGTAAGGGAGTTCTGCCTTCAAAAACCAAGAATACCACCTGTGCAGCTCTTTTAATCTCCACTGGTTGGCCAATAAGCATTCATGTGCCACTGAGATTAATCACTCAATACTGTATACAGGCTACATAAGTATTTGTATTTTCTATCCTTGGAATGTATTGTACAACAAGAACCCCTTAACATTTCTATACGAGAGACTGCTGCATTTTCCAGGGTTTTTTTTTTCCATTTAGTAATCAATACGAAGCAATTATTTAACACCTTAGAATAATGGTAAATCAATGAATGCAGAATTACAACAGGATTCTTATTGAAGCACTTACTATAATATTATCACTGTTACCAAATGAGTTAATTCTGATCATTTTTTTCATATGAATACTAACAGAATAGATTTCAAAGTCTTAATAAAATTTCCAAAATCTTTTACAGCTCAACTCATACAAAAATACCTATGTGACTATTTTATCGGAGTCCACTTTCCCAATATTTTCACAGTTGTGGTGCAAAGCTAATTTCTCTAGAAACAAATTAACAACTTTATGATTCTTTAATACCTGTGTTATATTAGCTACACACACACACACACGTACGTGAACCACTGAAGGAATGCACAAGCTGAATGGGTATGGAATCACCTTTAAGAAAATGAATTAATTATTCAAATATAGTAAATGAGTGAACTCTGCATGGCTGTTATCAATTTAGTCAAGTCTGTCAAAAGTACACTAGTGTGCATTCAGAACATTTCATTTGGTTTTCAAATATCTTATTCTACTGTTCAGTAAATATAGCTGACATGGAGATTTCCAGGTTTTACCAAGCACTTCTGTGATCACCATTACAGTCCAGTATACCAATCAACTAGAATTCTTTTCATGATATACATACAATATGCTATGTTACTTTACAGACTAAAATAGATCAACCTGGATAATCCAGATTAATTGACAGATTCCATTTTTATTTGGGTGAGAGAAAAACTTCAAATAGTGTTGTGCATGTTGAATGAAAGATTATAACATCATATGTCTTGTATAAGCATATTAATAGATAACGTCAATGTGAACTGATCAATTATGATTACTCTATATACTGCAGCAGCTTCCTATAAAAACACATTTGGTATAAAATGTGATCTTCTTTACAATTCCTCACCAGAGAATTCATTCTTAAGAGGCAGACATATTTATGGAACTTTTGAAAAGCCCTCTTATTTATTAAGGCAATTAACTGTTTGCTATTTTCCTTCATCATTTTCAAACAGATATTGAGAGAGAAAATGTTGACAGTTCTGTTCAGGGAAAATGGATGGAAAACAAAAGCTATAAAGAGTTTCTTTATATATAAACAGTATATATATATTAGCAGATAATAACCGGCCTTGCCTGCTGGTGCTAAAAGAGAGCACTATTCCAATTTTTTCTGTTTCATCTCTTTTCTATAAGGTTTATTGAGATGCAATCCTATTCCAGGTTCATCCTATTTCTCTGGCTCATCTTGGTTCAGTCTCTTTCAACATTTGCCGAGTTACATCAGTTTTGAGGACTATATATACTGGTGATTCTGTTACTTTTCTGTTTGGTTTTTTGAAGAAGCAATCCCATTTTGGGCACATCCTCTTTTCCTGGCACAACCAAACCTTATGTGGCATTAAATTATGGTAATAGGAAGTAGTATACGGAATGTGGTGTTCCTAGCTTTTACTGTTTAGAAGTACTTAGACAAACAGATAAACTCTCTAATTTTTATATACACACACAACCACCCACGCACACGTACATGCACACACACACCCCTAACATTTAGATGAGTGTTTCTCAAAGCGGTCCACGAAACCACTTTCAGACACCTGTTAACTGGCCACTCCGGTTAGTTTATTTCCAGGTGCTACAGCCACGGAGCCTCGCAGCTCCTATTGGTTCCATTTTACCATTTGCAGCCAAGGGGGCCTGTGGGAAGCAGCATGGGCTGGACCACTGTTTGCCGCAGCTCCCATTGGCTGCAAACGGTGAAAATGGAGCCAATAAGAGCTGCAAGGCTCCATGGCCATGGCACAGATACATAAATAAAGTGGCGCAGCCAATTAACAGATTTCTCAAAGTGGTTTCATGGAGCACTGTGAGAAACACCGACTTAGATGGACTGCAGTACCATCCAAAGCCCCAGTGACTTAGTTGGCATTCTGTAGGAGTGAATCAATCTGACTGCATGCTATCAATAGCAGGATTGTAGCCCATATGTATATCGATCTTTATGCACACAATACACACATACACAGAACCACAGAGAGATCAAAATCACACTTTCTATTCTATACCACCGTTTTTTGGCTGTTGCAGATATGCACAAAATGGCGGCTAATTCTTTATGCTTTTTTGAACAACATAATTTTCACAAATGAAGAAAAATGTGACTATACCAACTATGTGTAAATAATCCCCCCATGCCAACATCTTATATTCATGATACAAATAGACTTTCAACTAAACCCCACTTAAAGGTCAGCATGAAAAATTTGCACAAGATAAAATTCCACACTGCCTATATGCTGTATGTATTTATGAATTCTGTTTTGTAATTAGCTTAAATAACTTCTACTTTAAATTCTATTTTAAGAAATTCTCTCTTTATAGTTATCTTCACTGAGTTGGTGATAACCAGAGCTGCTGAATACCATTTCAAACCTCCCCATCTTTCTTCACAAGGCCCAAGCATAAGATGTACACATATAATATGTTCAGCTAACAGGTAACGTGCACTAACGATATATCTTGTTTAAATTAAGGGCCCAGTTCTATGCCATGGAGATGCTGAAAAGAAAAATGAACATTCATTCACATAAAAATGATTAAAAAGTGGTGAACTCATGTAAAGCCAAATAACTGAAAAATTAACATGATCCACTCTGTTCCATCTACAGATGAAAGTACAGAAAATGTACTTTTGTATGTTGTTCCAAAATTGTTTACTTGGTCTTGGCGAAGAAAGTACTTTGGAAGTCATTAAAAAGACAGCACTTGACAAGAGATACCAAAGCTATTGTTTAGTTTAAGTATATAGGCAAAAAGATGTAGTATCTCAAACACTATGATATGGTAAATGTTGACAAATGCTCACTTTTGAATGGCTACCCAAGTAGCTTGGACTACGGTAGAGTGAAAAGCTACTGAGAGTAAATAAGCTTCATCCCTTATTTTTCAGTTGATTGGTATAATGGACTGTAATGATAATCCCAGAAATGTTTGGTAAAACCTAGAAACCTCCATGTCACATATTTTACCACATCAAGGACTCTTAAGACACAGAAACATTTCAGATTTATATACATATTAAAAATAACTTACCTTTTGTTCAGAATCTGTAGTTGTTACTTTCTCAACTTTGTTCCTATTAAAAATTTTTTTCACACATTCTTCTACTTGAACATTGAATTTCATGAAAGTCACATAACAAAAATAAGCGGTCAGCAGGGTTAAGCTTTCCCACCACATGATTAAATTATCCAAAAAAAAGATTATTAGCAAGATCAAGCCTACGATATAAAATGACACATCCCTAAAGAGTGGCCACCAGGTAAGGTTCAAGATCTCTCTAGAAAATAAAGCACACATTCCAATAACAAACAGGATATTGAATACTGCAGATCCTACTATTGTTCCAATGCCAACATTACTGTGTGATATAAAGACTCCTATCAAAGATGTGAAGAGTTCTGGAGCTGAACCACCAGCAGCCATGAATGTTGCCCCAGCCACGTCATCAGATATGGCTAGCTTTTCAGTGATGACAGTCAATGAAGGAACAAAGAACTCATCACAGACTATGGCTAAGGCTATGAACATGTAAATCATTCCCAATATATGCAGGATTACTGCCCCCCTTCTTCTTTCTGCAAGAGAAAAAAGATCTTGTGGATACTCTCCCTTGGAGTGTTCTGTTGCATTATTCTGTTCAGTTTCATATTTCATAGAAATAGGTGACTCTGGAGTGTCATTTTGATTCTGTTCCTTGAAATCCAACAGAGTTCTTTGATGCCCATGCATTGGCTTTTGGCTATCTAGACTACTAGTTATCTCTGTGCTATGTGGCTCCATCTTGAAAAAGGCACTAATTGAAAGAGAGAAAGTGCTAATGGCCATTATGCTCATGAAAAGACCAATTATTCGTATCAGTCTCCATTTTTTCCTGACATTCTGATGCCTCCTACACCCAAATAGTGGTTCCTCCAAACACCATTCTTCCAGGATACTTGCAGCAATGTTTTTAGAAAGAGTCATTTTTTGTTCTCTGCAAGAAGCTGTGGCCCAGAAATTCAGAATCAGATAGACTGGTCTTTCATACTTCTTCCTGATTTCAATGTTAAAGGTGCTTTTATGTGCTTTTCCAGAATCAAGTACTTTTATGCTTCAGATGGATTATATTCGTCATTCGTGCTTAAAAAGAAAAACAACTTTTATCAACATTATAATAACAACACATGATTAGAAACCTGACTTGTTAAAATCTATTTTACTATACATGATTCAACACAAAGCTTAAAGCTCTACATTTTCCCTATGACTGTAGAGGTTTTAATTGCCCACTTCCTTTAAGTAGTCTCCTTCAAAATGTGTTAGCCCACAAAGCTGTCCCACCTTTTATTTAGCTGTAACACTCTGGTTACCTTTTCCAGACCTGAAGAAAAGCTCTGTGAAGCTTGAAAGATTGTTTCTTCCACCAACAGAAGTTGGTCCAGTAAAGATATTACCTCACTCACTTTGTGTCTCTCATAGCCTGGGACCAACACCGTTATAACACTGAAAACAAAAATTGTAATGTAGTGTCATGTTGCATCCAATCAAAATTAAGCTTTCCAGCAGACACAGCAACAAAACGTTTTAATACAAAAACAAATTCTGCATGGGAGGAAAATCCAGTGGATAAAAATTAATCAATCAGACTCTTTCATGGCATTCAGAAAGTCACTTCTCAGCAGATAAAAAATAATTCCAGTGCAGGTTAAAAGCTGTGTGTGAGTAAAAATGAATAAACTATGGTCTGAGTGAATACTACTAAAAGTATTCCCTTACATTGTGTATGAGTGTGTAATAATACTCACACACAAAACCTGGGGGCAAATATGGCCCTAGTCAGTCCTATTTGCAGCTCAAGCAGTTTTGATGTAAACATTACATTTAAATAAACAATCCTGAAACAATCACTGAATTTAGGTAGGAATAATACTGGTGATAATAGTATCAAAATAAAGATCAAACACATCTGTGGCTTCATGACCCATTTATAGATTTATTCAGAGAAATACAAGGCAAAGGCTCCCATTGACTTCAGTTTGCTTTGGATCAGGCCCTAAAATACCCTAGAATAAGGGGAAGGATCTGGCCTCTGGCTTGCTTGGACCTAGCCTGAGGCTCAGGACTCACCCTCTTCCTCCACCAGAATTGAAAAGACTGCACTGATGCTTCAGCCCTCCTGGTGCCTCACATAGGGGCTGGAGCACACAAAATCTAGTAGCTGGGACCCCCTAGGCTCTGGTGTGTGAGAGGAATGTGGGGAGTGTCTTTCTGCTTCTCAGTAGAGGGCAAGGTAAGTGAGGGTTTGTTTCGGTTTTTTGCTTCTCAATTGTGTGCGATTCCCAACTGATTTTTCTGTGGGTCAGCAGACCCTGACCCAAAACAGGTTCTCCCTCCCCCCCGCTCTAAAATGTTTTGGCTGTCTAAGACAAAAATATAATTTATCATTATTTTTTCTTTATTTTTCAAAAAATAATAACCACATATAACATGACAAATATAGCCTAAAAACTTAAATGCCCAAACCTGCAAAGTCTTAAGCAAACAGTCTGACTAACACAAATACTGCTATTGAAGTGTATTGGATTAACTATGTGCAAGAGTAAGGACTACTTAATACAAGAAAGAGTTTGCAGTATTGGGCCACTAAGTGTGCCTTGTATAACTCAAAACTGCTGTGAATAATGGTTGTTTAGATTGAATTAAGCTTTTTTCAAAAGTATATCTTAATACAGAAAATGATGTATACAGACATTAGATCTTATATGCTGTAAGCAATAAAAATAATTACTATTTCTACTTTATATTGAATAGGCAGAGAGACAGATTTTATTGGATGCCACTTATTCAGGATATTAAGGTATTATCAGCTCTGATTATTGCAGATTATATGAAATAATAAAAATAAATTAAAAATATATTTTAAAACCAGTGAGTATAGACTTTCCAATATTATCTGCATTTGTATACATAGCAGTTGCATAGTCAAATCAATTTTTTCTTTATTTTATTAAAATAATTTCTATTTTCAGATGATGCCAGAGATATAAATTTTTGTCTACAGTACATAAGGGAGATATTTCATGTTCTATTTTAGATTATTTCCCCACCAGTCTACCGCAGATTATATTGAACAGTCAAGATAAATAAACATATAATGAGTGGCTGTGCTTGCAATTTACACAATGATCAAAATAGGTATCTTTTGAGATTTTTATAATGGGAAATCAGAAATTTAATTCTAGCTGTGTGAACTGAGGGACAAAATATACCCTCGTCAACTTTGATAATTCTACAAAATACTAATTAGATAAAGAGATGGACAGATACACACACTCAAGAGATCTGCACCCATAGGATAACCCATATCTGCACATAACATGTCTACAAATATGGAGGTGAATCCTTTTCAACTGATTTCTTTTGTAATATACACCCTTCCTCTGGATCATTGCAAAGGTGCCTCGGGCACACAAATAGGTGCCACGAGCTCAGCTCCAACTTTGCAGAACTTTTCCTTTCTCCCCAAAACATCCCCCCTCCCCCAGTCTCCGAACAGCACTCCCTCATAGGAAGGGAGAGGTCCCTGGGGCGGGGGAGCTAGTTTCTGATTTCCCCACCACCTCACACTTCAGCTGCACTGCTGGGCCCCGGCTCCTCAGGCCTCATGTGACATGGGGGGGGGGGGGGGGGTGGGGGCC